TGGTGGTTGCCAGAATATCTAAAAATAGGATGGGAGGCAGATCTTTTAGCTATCAGGCTCCTCTCTTGTGGAACCTGCTCCCAGCTTTAGTGCGTGAGGCAGACACCTTGTCTACTTTTAAGACTAGACTTAAAAAGCAAGTAATGCCTAAATTAAATTGTTTTACTGATAACCTGCATAGAAGAGTGTCTAATGGTGATGTACACATGTGTAATCATTAGTGTGGCAGTTTAGTGTAACTTACCTTAAATTTAATATTTCAGCCCAAAACCATAATTGTATCTCTTAAAAACTCTGCTCCACATTTATGTAGAACCAGTAGAACCAGTTGTGGCCGATGGCTAAGCTGGAAAACGTGACGTTGTCAGCAAAGTACTATGTGGCTGCACTGCACTGGTCTCCAGGTGAGGCAGCCACACCTCCACCTGGCTCATCCACTCACCTGCTGATATGACACATATCAGCTCTGAGCCGCTAGCCTCCTTGAGAAAAACACCCTCCTCCCCTTTTCATCTAATGATGGTGTTTAACAGGAAATCCTCCAGAATGCTGCAGCATCTGTGTCTTTTCTTCTCCTGAGCATCTTCAAGACTTCTCATTAAGTCTTGTGTAAGTGTGTGCTTGCGTGCACGTGCTCGTTAACAGCTAATTCTTAGATTGAGAAACTCTGACAGCACACGCACGGTGGATGAAATACGTCTCCACTTATGCCTTGATCCTCACTTCAAAACATTTTTATTTGATAGGGCCTATGGTTAAAATCTGATGTTAGCCCAGATCTGGACAAGTGGGGGAGTAGAGAGAGGTGGAGCGTACAGTCGGTAAAGACGGCTCTCCCTGGCTCGGCCGGCTTGGGGGTGAGAGGCTGCGGGCGGGCCTGTGGGTTTGCAGCTGATATTTCCCGGGACTCTGCCGGCTGCTGGTTGTGGCCCCTCAAGGCGATCCTCTGCGTCTCTCGAGGGGGGCAGGGCCTTTTCTGGTCGCGGTCTCCCTGGGGTCTCTGCGCTTTGGGACAGCTCCTGGATCTCTGGGACTTGGCACGCCCTCCATCTCCTACACATCTTTGGGGGGCAGATCTGTGGCCCCTCACACTCTCTATTGGACGCTGCTATAGAGAAACCTTACATAAACAAGCGCGTGTACACACACAGGTGCTCACATGGTGCTCTCATAAGTATGGACTTGGGCATTTTCAACACATGTCTTAAGGCTGTGGTTGGCACTTAATGCACTGTGATTTATTACCGTGTGATTGTAAAACAATGTTGATTTTATATTTCCTCATCAGGCTGATGCAGTGATAGTCTGCTCTTGTTGTATTGTTGTGTGTTGTTTTTCTCTTTCTGCCGGTCTGGAAGCAGACTCTTGTTCATCATTGACTGTTTATCTTTGTAGATCCCCCCCCCCACAGTCTCTTCCTTTCTCTTTCACCTCTGTCTCCGTGTCTGGTCGGAACTAAAAGCATTCCAAAAACGACAACAATAAAGGTTTAAGTATCGGGCGTGACATTAAAAGCAGACGCTTTGATGCTCCACCTGAGAGTAAATCTGTAAGGCTTGTTACCAGCATTCAGACATCAATTCTGCAGCCTCTCTAATGATGCAGTCCCATGCATGATCCAATAAGTAAACCCCATCGTCTCTGTTCATGGTCCCACATCCACGTCTCCTTATCTCGATGGCTTCTTTAATCCATCTTTTGTATTTCTGTTGTTCAGTGTTTAAGATCCTTGTGTTGTCCCAGTCCATTACATGGTTTTCTCTTGTGCAGTGATCTGTTACAGCTGACTTCTTGATTGTGCTTTCTGCTTCTTCTTTTGCTGCTCTTGTGTGTCTTCGACCTGTTTCTTTCTCACACTCCTTTCTATGTTCTATTGTTCGTGTGTTGAGTTGGCGTCCAGTTTCTCCTATGTATGTTTTATTGCAGAGTTTGCATGGGATTTTGTAAACGACTCCACATTTAAGTCCAGCTGATATCTTGTCTTTTGGGTGCACTGGTCTGTTTCTAACTGTTGTGTATGGTTTAGTTGATGTGTTTATGTTTTTTTTTCATTGTTGCTCTTATTTTTTCTGTTATGCCTTTGATGCATGGTAGGGTTATCACTGGTTTTAGTTGCTGTCTTTCTGGGTTGCTGGTTCTTTGCTTGTTCTTTTCTTTCTGTTGTTGTTTGTTGTTTTCCTTTTGTTTATTGCCCATGTCGGGTATCTGCAGGTCTTTAAAGTGTGTATGTATGTGTTTTTTCTCTTGTTTACAGTCTCTTTCTTTTGTTACCATGTTTGCTCATTGATATAATGTTCTGATTACTGACATTTTGTGTATGGTGAGGTGTTCTGATGTCCATAATAGATATTGGTCTGTGTGTGTTGGTTTCCTGTATGTGTTCATGTTCAGGGTCCCATCGGTCTGCCGGCTTATTTTCATGTCCATAAATGCTATGCTGCCTTCTGTTTCTGACTCGTGTGAATTTTATGTTGCCTGTGTCGTCAATGTTATTCAAGTGTTGTTTCTGTTTGTCCTTTTGGTATGATTTCCAGTATGTCGTCTACGTAGCGTTTCCATAGTTTTATTTTGCTGTTTGGGGGGGGGGGGGGGGGGGGGGGCAGTATTTTTTTTATTATTGATTTATTTTTTATGTATTATTTCCTGCTATTTCAGCTGTTAATTTTTATTTTTTCTCAGTGTTTTTTCCCCAGAAGAAGCTACAATGATGTTCTGCTGAGCTGTGGTGCCCTCATGGAGGGGGCCTTCAGATCCTCTGGAGGTTTCTTCCTGTTAAAAGGGAGTTTTCCTCTCCACCGTTGCTGCATGCTTACTTAGTACGAGGATTGCTGTAAAGACTCTGACACTAGTCTGACACTGCTAGGTTCCTTATAAAGGAAACTTTTTACTGATTGGCTTAATGACCAGGGTCTCATTCATAAAACATTGCATAGAATCCTTACTAAAACCGTACTTAAGCTCAGCAAATTTTTTTTTTTTACTTACGCCAAGTAAGTTTGTGACCTATAAAACATGGAGTACGCACAGATTCACGCAATCTCCTCTTTATAAATCAAACTATCTAGAAAGGTTCTCAGGTGTTTCTGGATCACATCCTGCCCTTAACACGCCCACTTTCTGCCATAAATGGTCAATGCAAAGTGCCTTTGTGGATCTCATTGCATATACATAAGCTGGTTCGTTGCAGCGCTCCACCATTAACGATGACGACCGCAGATCAAGTAAGAGCAATTTCACAGAAGCAGAAGTTGAGGTACCTGTGGGTGAGGTAGAGAAATGAAAGGAAGTGCTTTTGCCAAACAAATAAGAGAAAAACCACGGAGTGGCACAGTGTTGCTGAAGCCGTCAATGTTGTGAGTTCGTCAGAGATCTGTGGCGGATATTAAGAAATGGTCCAATCTGAAGGTGGAAGCAAAAGAAAAGATGTTTTGCCACCGCCAGAGAGTGTCTGTCACTGGCGGAGGCCTTGGCACCTCTGATCTCCACCGCTCACCTTTAGGATCTCAGAAGTACTCGGCAAGCATGCATGGCATCGTGCCGGAGAAGGAGGGAGACACTGACCATGCAGAGGAGACTGATGACGTTTAAGCCTTTAATTAATACAGATCAAATGTGTCCATCATTAAAATATAAAACAAAACCAAATCTTGTTGTTTCTCCCCAGTGACTCTGGACGAAGTGTCCAACAAGGCCTCCCGGGTGGCGACCGAAGATGTGGCTGCAGGGTCGGGCTTCTCACCGGTGCGCACGGCGCACCTGGAAGTAGCCGGGTGCTAACTGACACCGTCCTGCAGGCACAGAGGGACACGATTAGAGCGGTGAACGAAGTGCGAGAAGAACTGCACAGAATATGTGAGGTCCTGACTGAAATTTCAGGAACACTTGAAGAATTTGCAAGAAAACAGAAGATGAAAATCAGGCCTTTGGTGGTGGTCCTATAGAAGACATGTGGCACTCTGTCTCAATCTGACCCCCTGCTGATATTCCGCATGTGAGGGTGGGGGGCTGCACTTCAGGCTTTGTGTGTGTGTGTGTGCGCGCGCGAGTGTGTGGGGGGTCTTGTTCTGTGTGAAAACGAAGCAGTACAAGTGATAATGCTGCAGGATTTCATAATTGTATCCTCAGCAGCAGCACTGCAGGTGCTCTCCATGTCCAACATGTGTGTAAGCCAGGTCCTTAGTCAACTTAAAGTTGTGCGCATTTTTCTGCTACATTTTCTTTCATAAATCCCAACGTTTGCGTGGAAAGTTGCTTACGCAGTTTTCCGACCCCGTTTTGTGCGTAAGCAAGCTTGATAAATGAGGCCCCAGGACTGTATCGGAATATTTACTGTGTGCTGAGACGACTCTTGTCGTGATTTGGCGCTATATAAATAAACTTGAATTGAACATTACGTATTGTTTAATACCTTTCATATTTCATTAACAATTCAATAATTGTGACCATTTGCAAAACGTTACAGCTGTGGGAGGACAGGCAAGACATTGAATCATCAGAAATACTCGATAAAAGTGTGATTTAAGGTGGACGAGAAACTCCAGCCAGCAGGATAAAGGAAATGCAGCTGCTGTTTGTCCAAAACCAATCAAGTTCAGGTCCCTTTCTGGATATCTTGACATCACCTTTGTGATGGTGCTGTCCACATTCTGTGACATGTTTAAGTGTTTGTAGCAGGTTGATGAAAGGAGACAAAGGTGTTTCATAGGAAGGACTGAGACGTGGAGTGAAGGTGAAAAATGGAAGCAGACAGCACAGGAGGCAGAGTGGAGCACGAGAGGCAGCGTATTCTTGGCAGAGCTTCCTGAGGCATTGCACATTCCCGCAAGATAACTTAAAAATGTTTCTGTTTTTGTTATTCCAGGCTGTGAATTACCGCCAGATTACAGAGGAACAGCTGTTCATCCACTTCCCCTGGACTCTGCATCGACGAGCAAGACAAACATCCAGTGCCCTGAAAGAGGCTTCACTCAAACAAACAAAAAAACATCAAACATGACAAATACAGCCAGAATGAAATATTTATTAAACCTTTTTTTGTTTTGATTCTTTCAGTTAGTCATGGGTGATCCAACACATGTATTTACAACGACATGGCTTGTTTCTGTAGAAAAGGACAAGAAGGTGGAGGACGGACAAGAGATACAGTCACTACATGTTCAAAGAAAGGTGAAGCTTAGTGCCATCCCAGTGGAGGAGGAACAAGATACAGCTGTGAGGAAAGTAAAGGTTCTTAGGATGGAGATGCTGCAGAAACAAAGTCTAGGTCCACAGACTCTTCAACAATACTTAATAATAATAATACATCAAACTTACATCGTGCTTTTTAGGACACTCAAAGACACTTCCACACAATCTCACATTCACACACTGCCAGTGATGGTAAGCTACTGCGTAGCCACAGCCGCCCTGGGGCGGTCTGACAAAGGCGAGGCTGCCATTTGGCGCCGTCGGCCCCTCTGACCACCACCAGCACCAACTCAAGACCTATGTCTGCTGCCACTGAATCTAAACAAGAACATCCTAAACCTTCTAGATGATTGTGCTTCTACGCGATTGTGCGCATCTACAGAAAAACATGCAAAGTTTAACCTTTTCTTGTTTTATATAAAAGACATAGAAAATGAAAGTCAGCATTTTTGTATCAAACTTCTGAATTTGGATAAGAACATTAATGTGTAAAGGAGGTGTGGAAAGAAATGGGTGGGTTATAATCTGGGATACACGGTATCCAGGAGCGTTTCCTCACCTGGGATCTCTTCTTAATGCTGAGGGTAAAAAGAAAAATTGATAAAATTGTATTTATATCTTCAAAACGCTTTATTTTTCAGTAAATTACCTCAGAATTTCAAGATTTTCTCAGATTAATTATCTTTACATTTTTGGAAGGAATTTAATCGTCCTTTTAACCATTTTATCAAAATTGGCACCAGTTTATCAACCGGTTATTTCCGTAGATGATTTCATTCAAATGGCAGCTAACAAAGTAATTATTCCCTGACAGAATATGGTGGTAATCTGACTTGTTAACAAACCAAATATTGAACTCTGAAGAACTTTAGACCATTTGGAGCATCAACTGCTTCTTGGTTAAATTGTTTTTTAAAGAGAGTTTTGCTTTTTTCAGTGAATGTTTAAGAACACTAAATCACTGCTAATGTCCTTTTGAAGAGGATTTCCCCACCAAGAGTTGGCTTCATGCTAAAATGGAGTATTAGAGCCACAATTAAAGGCTATTCTCTAAAGAGCAGGTCATGTGTAGGTTCAGTCATTATCTAACCTGCAGCAGACCAGAGCCAGACAATGTATATACACATTTATTTATACCTTCTCAGTGGCCTAGTTAGAGTGTCCACCCTGGGAATGGGAGATCAGGGTTCAAATCCTCGTCGGGTCATACCAAAGACATTAACAATGGGACCCATCGCCTTCTGGCTTGTCACTCAGTTGTAAGGGTTGGGTTGGGGGGTTAAAACTACCGACTGGTCCCCGAGCGCGGCCAAAGCTGCAGTTCATCGCTCTCCATGGGATGGGTCAAATGGGGAGATGTAATTTTCCTTCATTTATTCATTTATAAGCACCTTCCACAACCTTTAGCATAAGCCCAAGGTGCTGAACACAACAATAAAAAGCAATTGCATTAATAAATACAATAAAAGATAAATAAAATAAAATAAAAACAATAAAAATAGATAAAACAGCAACACATTAAAACAATTGAAATCAAGACAAAATTGCAGACCCCAGTGGTGAACATGCCTGGACATAATAATGGGCCTTCAGACGTGGTTAAGAAATCTGGAAGGAAGGCACCAGCCTAACATTCAAAGGCAGACCATCCCACAAAGTTGGAGCAAGGACCGCAAATGCACGATCTCCCCTCGATTTGCATCTGGAACAAGGGACCACCAGTAATTCCTGGTCAGCAGAGCAAAGAGAGTGGGTGGAAACATATCTTTGTAGCAGTGCTGATAAATAGGCAGGCGCAGTATCGTGAAGAGCTCTAAACCCAAGTATCAGCACATAAAACTTTGCTCTGTACTGGATGGGAAGCCAGTGGAGTATTACCAACACCGGTGTAATATGGTCATGCCATCTTGTTCCTGTCATAAACCCAGCAGCTCAGTTCTGAACCAGCTGTAGTCAACAATCGCACCCTGACTCAGACCAGCAATTAGTGCATTTCAGTAGTCAAGTCTGGACAGGATGACTGCATGAATAACAGACTGTAGATGCTCCCTAGACAACAGGGGCTTGATCTTAGCCAGGCGCCTCAAATGAAGTAAACTGGAACGCACTACCGCGATCATTTGTGCATCAACTTTCAGTGCTGAATCATTCACCAGTGTGTGGGGATGACTAATGGGACTTTAACTTTAACATTACCATTACAGTAGGCACGGAAAGCAATCTGCGTAATCTGGTGGCATTGAGGAAAAAACATTCACTTATGGCCACGACTTACTAATGTGTTCCCACGAGATGATAATGCGTGGCCACCACTTATAAAGGCGTGACGGATGTGTTCCAAATATCTGCTTTCCTGAAAAGATCTCTTAAAAGCCCCCAAATCATTAACTTTTAGCTAATATTAGGTTTTATAATAAGATCACTGATATTTATTTTAAAGAATAATAACCAGTTGTTTTATTTAAGATCATCCAGTAACACAAGTGATGCCTCTTTTTCTTTCAGCAGCACGGGCAGACAGCGATAGTACATAAGTGTGTGTCCTCTCTTTTGTTGTTTGTAGTGACTGGCTAGGTACGCTTTTGAATTACTTATTGGTTTATTAATTGTGTCAAGCGTGACTGCCCATCTGTGAACCAGTAAACTGCACATAACAGAGGCACACCTGTTGGAGGAGTTCTGACAGAACACCACCTCAACATCATAGCTGGCCAGAGCTTGGCAGTAACTCCCCATGTGGTCATGACAACACCCTCTCTTGCACCAAGGGGTAATTTGCATTCAAATGTCCGGCAAGGTAGGAATATTAATAGCAAACATGGCGGTACGAATGCCGCAAAATTCCCGCACTGCCATGCCACCAAAGAGTGTTCACAAGCCACACCGTGGCTGCCATGTGATTTGCTGCCATGGTGTGGCTTTTCTTGCTAACTAAGTTCAGCAGCGGTGAATCTATTGTCTTCTTCTTAGACTGCATGCTTCACGGGGTGCACTACTGTTTATAAATATAAAAATGTAAAATTTCAAGCTAAGAGGAGGATGTAGAATAGATGTTATTCTATATTAATGAAAAAAGACACATTTATGAATGGGATACACAGCTTTTGATAGTAATCAGAAAGAATATTACACACTGTGCCTCTAAATAAATCTTTAAAGCACACAACTTCATTGTTTCAATCTAACAAACACAAATAAAGAATGTTGTTGAATTACAAACTTTAAGTCAAGCATGTCTCAGTTATTCACCAAAATAAAACCTCTATGGCTTTAGTTGTTTCTAAGTATTTTCATGATAAAAAAAATCCAGTGAAAATGCTGATTTAGAGTGTTTCTCTAACAGTGGCTCTAATACTCACCTGAGGAGTTTTTCCTACATTAGAATCGCTCCTGGTGCGTTTGAGGTTTGTTTCAGTCAGATGACCAAAGTCCTGTGATCAGACAGGTTGGTCCTTTGTGGACAGGTTCCTCCACATGCTACTTCTTACAACATGAAAGAGAGAACCTGAACCAAACTACCTCTTCCACCTGCTTTGTTAATCTTTCACTGATTCATCTCTCGCATACTTACTTTACTAAAACAGAAGAGTTTTCTCTCAAGAATAAAAAAAAATCTCTAATTAGCCTGAACTTCATAGGAAAGTTGTCTTATTTACAGTAACCATGTGACTAGTGATTCACAAAAACAATGGTGAAACAGCAAAACTGCATTCGTGACCATGACAGACACAAGGACTCCATGTCTACACCCTGATGCACACCAGTCTGTTTATCTCTTTGCACTTTAGTTAAAAACAACTACAAATTGGTTGGGGGATAGATATTCTCTTATTAGATGTGCCAACATGGGATTTTACTACCACTCTACCGGACCTACAGACTGTTGTGGCCCCCAGACGCTGGACCTCTCTCCCCCTGAGCCTGTCATGCTGAGAGCGGGAGGGGGTTAGGACCCAAGGTGCAGAACACCAGACAACGCGAGGCAGGAGCAAACGTAAAAAGTAAAATCCTGTATTTAGGATGATAACCAAAAATCCAAAGGGCAGGAAGCCAAAACCTAATGACAAAACTCTGACAAAAACCAAAAGCTCACTTTCTGAGCAGAGACCTCGAGACCTAGTGGGGGGGACAAAACAACGCTGACAAACAGCAATGGACCGACACACACACACAGTGACGAGACAGGGTTATATACACAGGGGCTGGATGATTGGGAGACGAGTAGCAGGTGCGTGGGAGAGAGAACTGAGGAGAGAACGGTGAGATCAATTGACCAAATGGGAAGGGAAAACCAAGCAGAGGGGATAAACCATAACCTGTGAATCTCTAAATAAATAAAGCTAACACAAGAGAACCAAAGATAAATCACTAATGACCAGAGGAGTGAGGGGGACCAATTAACAAGTGGAGAAGGAAAATACACACACACTAAAGTAGACTAATAAAAAGAAATGCTGAACCTATAGAAAAACTGCAGAGGGGTGACTAGGAGAGACCTGAGGGAAACCAGGAGGGGGAACCGGAGAGGGCTGGGGACCCAAAAGACACAAAACCTGCTAGGAAGGGGGAACATGAGGGAAACCTGGAAGGGGCTGGGGACCACGAGGACACAGAACATGACAGAGCCTGAGATCAGTGGACTCAGTGGTCTTCTTTAACCTCACCTGTTCAGGCTTTTGCGTGACCTTCATCATCACCCTCTCCTTGTTCTGCTCTCCTCTTTCTACCTATTCCGCCTTTTCCAGGATCTACTGATTTCCTTCTCTTTACCTTTCCTAATCACAAATTGTATCATTATTATTTGTATATATTTTTCAAAAACAATTTTTTCTCTCTTAAATATTTTTTGTTCTTGTGAAGCCCCTCAAGAGTTTTATGTTGAGAGGTGCTATAGAAAAGACAATTTTCCTTCTTTTTTTTCTTTCTTTATACAAAAATGGAAATGAAAAGCACGAGAATGGCACAATAAATAGGAAATTTTTTGACTTCTATCTGTTCAAATATTTTACTGTACATCATTTTGGCTGCTACAGTTACATGATTTAATAAAAAGAAAAAAAAATAGGATAATTGTGTTAATTCGTTAAATTATCCAAACAACTAAGAGCGGAGTTCTTCCTAAACTCTTTTCTCTCTTCAGTCGGTTTGACGTGACAGAATTTCAGCTCGTAGCAGCGCTCTTCTTCCAGCCACAATTCCAGGATCCGTTTAGTGAAGTGAGTCGTATTTCATGGTGTTACAAATCAAGCAAAAGTCTGTAAATGATCCACGGTCCTGCTGTGCTTCTTCACTAATCAAGCTAACTGGTGTTCTGATTGTGCCATTTGGTGAATGAAACTTTAAAAATGACGTCTTGTGTGTTTGTCTTCAGCACAAAAACTGTGTAAACTATCTGCATATCATAGGAAGGCCAACAGGTGGGAGGCTCCGCCCACCTTCAGGCACCTCAACCATCAGAACTCACCACAAAGTCAAGCATCAAACTCAGAAAAAACGTTGGTGGCTTCGCTCATGAAGTATTTTACTCTGTCCTGTCAGCCAGAGAGAAGATCAGTGTTTTTGGGTTTTAAAAAGTGCTCCTTCAGGGGAGGTGATGCAACCAGGACAGTCCAATCCTGAGAGGAAGGGGTTGCTTTTCAGACTGCTATAATGACAAGATGGCTGCCAGAACCATGAGGGAAGAGCTTAGCAGCAGGACTGGGATCTGGTGCTGACCGGCAGAGTTCACGTCTCGTCTGGCTGGTTCTGGCGACTCATGACCGATTCCATCTGAGAGGAGAGAAAACAAAAACATAGGCATGAAAAAACAGACAGGAAACACAAATGTGTCCTTTAGTTTGTTAATTATTAAACAACAGCTCTTTTTGAAACAAACTCCGCGTTTAAAATCCCATTAGTCCCATTAGTCCCCATCCCACACTGGTGAAATTCATCTCTGTATCTGACCCATCCCCATGGGGAGCGGTAAGCTGCAGCTGTGGCAGCACACAGGAAATATTTGGTGTTTATCCCTTGCCTCGTCTTGTCTTCTTCCGCCTATCCTGGTCTGGGTCGCGGGGGCAGCATCCTAACTAGGGAGTTCCAGACTGTCCTCTCCCCGACCACCTCCACCAGCTCCTCCGGCAGGTCCCCAAGGCTTTCCTGGGCCAGTTCGGAGATGTACTTTCTCCAAAGTGTCCTGGGTCGACCAGGAGGCCTCCTGCCGGCAGGACATGCCTGAAACACCTCCCTGGGGAGGCGTCTAGGAGGCATTCTGACAAGATGCCCAAACCACCTCAACTGACTTCTCTCAATATGGAGGAGCAGCGGTTCTACCCCGAGTCCCTCCCGAATGTCCAAGCTTCTCACCCTTTCTCTAAGGGAGAGCCCAGCCACCCCACGGAGAAAACTAATTTTGGCCGCTTGTATCTGCGATCTTGTTCTTACGGTCATTACCCAAAGCTCATGACCATAGGTGAGGTGAGGACTGGGTGTTAGATCGACTGGTAAATCGAGACCCTTGCTTTGCAGCTCAGCTCCTTCTTCACCACAACAGACCGGTTCAGCGTCCACAACACTGCAGACTCTGCCCCAATCCGCCTGTCGATCTCCCGCTCCCTCCTGTTACGTGCTGTGCCCCTTTTCGGCCACAAGATGGCCCCATAGGCCTTTGCCTCGCCTGTCTCCCGGTGCCCCCAGCTGTTCGGAATCAGAAACCACTCGGCAGCTGTTAAAAGCTGCCTTCCTGCTCTAGGTCGAGGAGAAGGTCCAAGGGTAGAGTAGACTGGAAACAGTTTATTCTATTCTCTTCTCCTCGTTCGCTCGTTGGTAAAACTCGTCATAATTAGTCTTCCATGCTCTCGGTTTTGGATTTGACAATTCGGCAATTTGACTTTGGACCACATTTGACTTAGGCTTTGGATTTCCCCTTTTGTGTAAATAAAATATTCTCGGTTGTTTACCCCCATCCCCTTCTGGGTTGGCGTTTTTGGTTTCTCCTTATTAAATATTGCTCCTTTGGTTTTTGTATATAGTAATGCTTTTTAATTCTTTATAAATATTCCATTCCTTTTGTAATAAATCCCTTGTTTTATAGCGACACAGCACTCTGTTTATTATTAAATCCACACACCACTTTTATTACTCCCCTCCTCATCTCTCCTAGAGAGCCGGGGACGTAATACTCCTCCCCTCACTCGTGAACCAGACCCCGAGATACTTGAACTCCTCCATTTGAGGCAGGACCACTCTCCTGACCCGCAGTTGTTAAGGCGCCCTTTTCCTTTACGGTTTGCGTTTAAACCCCCCCCAAATAGCTCCCGAGGGCAGCCACAGCTGCAACTCACCGCTCCTCACGGGGATGGGTCATATGTGGAGATGAATTTCATCTGTGTGTGTGTGTGACGAATTTGGAGCTTTAACTTTATTTTTGACTTGCTTTGCAGGATGATTAATTGTTATGCCAGTTAAAACATGAAGAAATTAAAGGTATTAGCCAGACTCTGCATTAAAATTGTAGAAAATCAGTATAACTACACTGTATCATTTATATAAATATGAACTGGGTTCAGTTTTTCATATTGTTAAGGATTTTTATCATAAATCATTGCAGAAAATCCAAATCCTCTCCTCCAGACAGTGAAGAACTGTGCTTAGCATACGTCACTCCAACGCGTAAAACAAGCTAGCTGCTGTTGCTAGTAATGTGAATAACTGTATTTTGTTTACTTTTGTGCTCTTAATTATGTAGCGTCCAGAAATGGTCGTTTTTCATCTACAGTTTGACCTCTTCAGTATCCGGTCATATAGAGACATAGGTCTGCATCTGGTGCCTTTAATCTGCCAAGCTGCAAGATTCTACAGTGCATGTTGACACTTGGATTTTCTTAGATTTTCAACATCATACTTCACCAAGGTCTCTCTTCAAGCTTCCTCTTATCTCAGACTGCCTTGCTCCACAGAACAAAAAGATGACATTTTATAATTAATCATATAATGAATAGACAAGGTGTTAATGAAATGTTTTGATTAATCTGTGCTTAAATTAATAAGGATGAAATGAATGTGTCCTTGCAATATCCATTTGTCTGATAATAAGCATACGTGACTGGACAGCTCACACTCATACACGTGACAAGATGACAAGGTTAAAGTAATCTCGTGACACACTGCTTTCTGATCCACAAATCAGAGCTCCTGTATCTGAGCAAGGTGTGGTTTCTGAGGTTGTTGGCAAAACCCCTTTAACATGTCGAATTCTGATTTGTCAGTAAATCATAATATAGGACTTAATAAAATGAGAATTACTTCCCGAGTTGATTCAGTTTGAGCCGAGCTCTGGACTGGCCACAGGAGGAAAGCTCTTCGAACCACCGCATCTTTTGACAAGCTGTCAAAACCTGTTGCACGCTGCAGCTGACACAGCAAACGGTTCCTTCAGAACAAAGCTGACACAGCTCCGACTCCTTAAGAGTCCTTCCATAGACGCAAACAACTACCTGTTGTGGCCTGGAGACGACTCGAAGACCGGTCTAGTGGTGCTGCGGTTTCTACTACAGACTTCGGTGCCTTGGAGTCCACAGACTTCGACACATTCCGGATCTACCCCCAGGGGTCTCCGAAAGGATACGTAGGCGCGATAGATTGCGTCCGAAGCCATTTTATAAACCATCACTTCTAGTTTAATGCAGACCAAATTCAATCACACTCAGAACTCAGTTTGTTCCAGATACGAGGGCTCTGACAACATCACATGCACACATCACATTTGTCATGGTTTGAGGTGAGTGGTTCATTCATGACCTCTGAGTGCTTAATTGTAGGTGAGTGGCACTGAGGAGCAGGCAGCTGTAGCCAATCTGTCATCTACCAGTTGGTGTGTTAAAGGAACAGGGAGACGACATCACCTCGCAGGATGATTGCTCACTTTGGTACACTCCAACCTGAGATCACAAAGCCAACTCTTGAATTTAGAAATCTTGCACTTGTCTTGAGCTTTAGCAAATTTGTAATTCCTGTTCCTTGTTCCCTTCAGGTATCCTCAACATCACCACCTCGTCGGCCATAACCATGGATTATCTCACTGGACAACGTGTCCCCGCTCAACCTGACCGACCCACTCTCAGCTACTCACCCCGCACTCACCTTCGCTCATCTGGATTCTCCTCTCAAGCTCGGCCCTCACCTCAGGCCCGACCGCCCTGCTCGTCTTCCACTAAATTCCCTGCTCACCTCCAAACATCAACCACACTCGGACCCTCGCCTCACGTTGGCAGCGCTCCTTCAGTTACCCTTTTCTAATAAATAATGTTTTACCCTTTTATCCAATCTCCGTGTATGATTCTGAATGTCCTGGGTCAGGAAACTAAACCAGAACACGACAACATTACACTACATCATACACTCATCACATCATTGTTTTCTAGATGTCATAGTTTATAATTAGTTCAGACAATACATTTCTAACTTTTTATAAACTTGATTTTGTCTGAATTAATACGAAGTGTGCTTACGATCCCTGAATAACAAATAATCCTAATTCTTCTGGTTAAATATTAAAGGATCAATCAGGTTGGATTTCCATATTTATATTGAAATTCACATCTTATTGATCATAATTAAAACCCCAAAATACATCTGTAGGCATAACCCTACAATTATTATGGAAAATTGTGTTTACAGCTGTTAGCCCAGATCTGGACAAGTGGGGGAGTAGAGGGAGGTGGAGTGTACAGTCGGTAAAGACGGCTCTCCCTTGCCCTGCCTCCAACATGCCTCCATCTAAAAGGCTAGGTTATCCAGGGTTATCTCTGTAGTTATGCTGCTATAGAGCTCCGGGAGTTGACATCACGTTTCCCGGCATGCAGCAGTTCAAATCGAAACGGCGCCATTTGGCAGGTAGAAGCCGGCAGCTGGACTATTTGTTATTGTCAGAAAACTCAATCAGACAGGAAATATGGTAGATTCCTGTTGTGCCCCAGGATGCAGAACAGACGCGGACAACATAAGGAATGAGCCATCTACAGGATTCCCCAAGATCCGGAGCGCCGCAAACATTGGATCATTGTAATAAAACGCACTAGTGACCGGGCTAAAATGAAGCTGTGGGATCCCGAGAGTAAAGGTTTTCGCTTATGCAGCGACCACTTCATATCAGGTACTTAAACCAACGTTTCCTCAGCTGTGTATGGTATTTATTTTAAATGCTTTTATTACGATTCTTAGTGGGCTTCCTAAACTTATTTAGGCGTGGCTTTTTCTGCCTTATTACTCATAGCAGCAAGTAAACATCACGTCAAACGTTGCCTCGTGAGTTATGCGTGCTGCCGTTTACGTGTTTTATGATCACAGCAATTAACCGGCTAAGCTGTGTTTAATTATTTAAGCAATGGTTGATCAATTGTCAGATCACACATAAAAAGCACTTTGGATTGCTATTATCTGTCTCACCGAGACAGATCTCAGACAGATCCTGAGACGCTCCTGCCTGACAGTTTTATTTTATTCACAGAAAACAATCAGACTAGTGATTTCTCTTGGTGTTCAGTTTATACATTTAAACAGCACAGCGCTCTATTTAAACTACTTACGTGTAAATCTGTTATTTGTCCATCCATCCATCAATTTTCCTCCGCTTATCCGGAGTCGGGTTGCGGGGGCAGTAGCATCGAGAGGCCCAGACTTCCCTCTTCCCAGCCGCCGGAGCCAGCTCCTCCGGGTAAATCCCAAGGGGTTCCCCGGCCAGGTCCAGTAAGAAGTCAGAAGCTGTCGGAGCGGGCAGTAGCGTCGAGAGTCCCAGACCTCTCCCCAGCTCCTCCGGCCAGGGGAATCCCAAGGGGTTCCCCGGCCAGGTCCGGTATAGCCCGCTCCGACGGCTTCTGGCATTTTTAAAAAGTATCCCAGGGGCACGGTAAGGGTCGGAGATGTTTAGTCTATTTAATTTCTGACTATATAAAACGATTTCTTCGGTTTTAAAGTGTGAAGTAAAATCCAAGCCGATCCCGTTCATGTTCATGTTTACGATCCGTGTTTGTTTACCTTTTTTTCCTGCCAATATGGTGTCTACTAACAGAGAGTCACGTGGGGTCCGGAGCTCTATAGGCTTAGACTGCTGGAGGACACACTGACCACTTTTCACACTCGACTACTTTCTTCTACAATCTGCTCTTTAACTGTATTATTTCCTGCTATTTCAACTGTTAACTTTATTTTTACTCTGTTTTTCTCCCCAGAAGAAGCTACAACGACGTTCTGCTGAGCTGTGGTGGCCTCATGGAGGGGGCCATCGGCTAGCACACTGCTGCTAACCACTTAAACATTCTCCCTCACACTAGTAGAAATATTGTAATAAATTGATTTTTATAAACTACTGTTTATTTTTGTCTGTCAAATTATTATAAAGTGTTGTTTCCCTGGCTAATCTAGCTAATCTAGCTGATAAGTACTTATTTATATCATCAACCGAATAGTAAACGTTCAATAATAATGATATCCCTATTTTTATGGAAGACTATACTTTCTTGATTACCTTTATATTTTATTGAAAATGTCTTAAAAAGTAACCACCTACAAAATTATTTAAAATTTAAATAATCTCCTTAGATTTATTTTGTCTGTTAAACGTCGCACCAACCTCTGGGTTCGATGGAATTGTTGCTGTGTTCGTCAAACTCCACGCCTTCCTGCAAGCTCCCAGAGGCTTTCACACAATTGTCTTTGGAAAACAAAGCAGATTGCAAGATTAGGTGAGTAAAAAGTCCCATCTGATCACAAAGCAGCACAGTACACAAGCTGGACTAAACTAACGCTAACCCAAAATATCAAGACTCACTTTGTGGCCTGACGAAGACTTTGAGACGAAGGCAGCTCCTTCTTCCTCGGGCGTCGGTGACGGACGCTGTGAGAACAAGACACAATAGGTTTCATTTTACACATTAAATCACCTCCTGAGAGCTAATCTAGAGCTGTGTGATCAGAGAAAATGTCGGTTTAAATGACACTATAATTACTCTACATGAACCAACTTGACAAAAAGACAAAATTAACAAAAAATAATCAAATAATAAGAAACTGGTCCAATCTTTCAGGTTTCACACCAAATCAGTTGTTTTCAACTTGTATTTATATGTTAATCCATGTTTTTTAACAGCTGGTAAAGATTAGGGTTGGGCATCGTTTGATTTTGAACGATTCCGATTCCAATTCTTCGTTTCGATTCCGGTTCCTATCGATTCCCGATTCAGATTCTTTCAAGACATGACGTGTTTTACATGAGCCAGCCAACCACAGGTCCTACTTGATGAAATTATCTTAACTTCAGCATGAATTTTAATTCTATGAACAACAACATCACCTTCATTCAGACAAAAACGTGTTTTGGAGAAAAAAAGAAAAAGACTTGCAGCACAACCAGTGTGTTTGTTTCTGACCACTAGGGTTGTCACGGTAACCGGTATAGCGGTAAACCCCGGTAAAAAAGTTGACAATAAAAATAACCGTCCAGTTTTTAAAAAACTATATTATCTCGGTGGGTTTACCGTGGCCGCGGTTTCGGCGCGATGACCCTTACCAGCCACCGTCGCTTCAGCTGAAGTTCCCGCTGCGCGCACACGCACTTTTTAATTTGCAACGGCACCAAAACTTTGAAGCTGAAATAATGGCCGAAGGAGGCGACGGCAGCGCCCAGGACATCCATCAGCCCTCAAAGAAGACTAAATCGGAAGTATGGGCATATTTGGGAATTCTGAAAAATGCTGAGGGACAGTTAATAGAAGACGGCTATCCCGTTTGCAGAACGTGCAGGAAACAAGTGTCTGCAGAAGGCAGCAACACTTCGAATCTAATGGCACATCTGCGTGACCATCACCCACGTCTCTACAGCCAGTGCAAGGTAAGATAACATTAGCATTTTAGCTGAAATGCATGACGTGAGGACTTTTGGTTGAGGGAGAATGCAACGAGTCACTATATACTGCAGCCGCAGCGTCCTCTGCCAGCATTTAAACCGTGTCACGGACACCCTGTTGCTGGATGAAGCATCTTATTTGTTGATGATGAAGAGAAATATACAATTAGTTCCTTGTCATGGATTTGTTTACTTATTCAATGCCATTTATACTTGAACATTTGGATTTGATTACATAGTGTAGTAGTTATTTTAGTCATTTGTTTAAAGTGGATATTTATTTTAAATACATATTTTTTAAGGTTGACTTGTACAGCGCTCAAGTCAAGTGTGGACTGGAGTTTTAGATTTTCATTTTGATAATGAAGAAAACAAGTATATGAGAAAACAAGTGGTGTTTCTTTGATTTGTTTACATATTGTTTATGTTTTGAATGTTTGGATTTGTATAATTTAAACCTGCACTGACTACTGTAACAAGTTCCAGAAAAATAAGCTATTTGTTCCTTTACTTGTGAAAAGTTGCACTTTTGCTAAGGCTTTGTGTTATTTTAGGTTTAATAAACACTGTTAAACCTTTTCAGAACTATTTCAGTTTGTGTAGAACAGGACTATCAATGCTTTCTGAACATATGCAACACCGTTTAAAAAATACCGCGATAATACCGAAAACCGTGATAATTTTGGTCACAATAACCGTGAGGTTAAATTTTCATACCGTGACAACCCTACTGACCACAACCAACGTCTGGAAGCAGCCTCTGGGATGAGAGGCTAAATGTTTCCAACATATCCAGAAACGTCCAGATGTTTTCAGCTAAAACTCTCAGGATGATCATGTCCAGGATGATCATGTCCAGGATGACTGAGAACTACACCTCCATGCTGCAGCAGCATTCAGTCAGAACCGAAAGTGAAACCTAAATGCAGCTGCTGTCAGTAACAATCGGACAGATTTTAAACATTAAAACTCTCAACAGAAATAGTTCAGAAAGAAAATGAAAATGCTATTTATAATAATAATATAATAATAATAATAATTATTTATTATTATTATTATTATTATTGTTTATGGTGGCAGAAGACGGTATGGTCCACCACAGGTAAGCTGCTCTAGCATGATGACTTTAATTATTCTACAGGTTATTGTTCAGCCTGCTGACGCTCACACACACACACACACACACACACACACACACACACACACACACACACACACACACACACACACACACACACACACACACACACACGCACACACGCACGCACGCACACACGCACAAGCATTGGTGAGCGGCTGCGTCTGACTGCTGATGCTCCGTGTGTGTTTTTATTTCTGCAGTGAGACAAACTCACCTCACACCATCCAGAGTTTGTTCTTTAAAGCTTCTAGTAAATCCACCGTGTTGACGTATTTAACAAGTATCCTCTATGCTGCAGGAGTTAAAGTCTACATTACGAAGTAAAAGTTCAGCAGACGCTTTTGTTTAAATCTGGGTGGGGGACTCGGTGCTGCACACAGAGAGCTGGTGTGATCAGCTCTGAAACGCGTTGATCACAATTTGCAGATCACGTTTATTTTTGACGGAGATCGGCCACGGATTCCTCTTCCGGTCGGCATTCTAGGAATCAGAATAAAAAACTTTGAACGATTCCGGGAAAAACTAACAGTTGGAACCGGTTCCAATCGATGCTCAATGCCCAACCCTAAAGATCTATTGTTGGATTTATTTAAGCTAAGGAACAGGGGAAATCAGAAGCTGTTTTTACAGGACCATAGTGTTTAAAAACAGGATTTGCTGCGGCTCCCTGGGGAGGATAAAGGCCGTTTATAAGTTCAGACCGTGGCGATAATGTGGCACAATCGTAGCAATATTATAAAAGATTAGGTGATGGCAGCATAAACGGGGTATGGGGGCGGTCTCTGTGCTGCCGCAGACTTCCGTTTATCTTGGACATAACTTGCTTTTTATTACGATTGAAGCCGTGATCGTTACGCTTTTTTTTAACAAGCAGCTCCTAAAGGTGTCTGTCCCCATCAGTCCCTGTGCAGTCTCTGGTGATCTCAGCTTCAGCTCTAACAGAGAGGCTCGTGGAGCGCTGCGACGCTCCAGTTTGCCATCTCAGCTGATTTTGTTCAAAAACAAACCTTATTGCCCGTGTTTACTTTTATTTTCAATAAATTTGCCAGCTGGAGCTCAGCAATAACTCCCCACGTCATCATGACATCTGCCTCTATTGCACCAGGGCGCATATGACAGACCATTACCGCAATATTACTACCAAGTGAGGCGGAAGGAATGCCGCAAAATTTGCGCAACGCCATGCCGGCATGGCGCGTTTATGGACATACCACTGCGGTAATATTACGCCGATTTGCCGGCTTTGTGTGTCTTGTAAAAGAGACTATAGAAAGCTGCTCCTCATCAAACAGGAAGTGAATTAAATTCTGTTACTGAGACATTTTATTATTTCTAATGTTTGCTGGTTGTTAGTGTTGATAATTGTTGAACATTTGAGTATTAATAAGCTCAATGAATTAAAATATACTATCAACCATTTCGGTACTTTTATCTATATTGTAAATAATGAACAGGAAAAAAATCCTTAAAATGAACATTTCCATCGTAACGGACAGGAAATGAGTAACGAGAGACATTTTCCATTTAACTGAATTATATGAATTTAAATAACATTTATGTGATTCAAACTTTCATTTGATTTTGTATTTTCCATACATTTTTTATCAAAATCAGCAATAATATTCCATATTTCAGGGAGATAAGGCTCAGATTTACAGGCAATACAAGTTTTTTTAATTTTTTTTTTACTTAATTTCATTTATTGACATAAAAAGAAAAAAATATATACAAAAGTAAATTACTGAAACCAAAATGAAAAGGGGACATAAAGAAGGAAAACTTAAGTTGTCTGCCCCTTTTAACTCTTAGTAGCTCTAATACAAATGAAATAACAGTATAATTGTAAATGAACTTTAAACATAGTGATTGCTGGAAGGATTGATTAACAAAGATTCAATGTATGAAGTAAAGCAAGAAAATAGGAGAAAAAACAAATTAATGCACAAGGAGAAGAATATTTATATTCATACATACAAACTTATATTTAGTAGGGATGAGCGAGTACACCACTATCTGTATCTGTATCTTTTCAACCATCTAAATTATCTGTATCTGTACTCAGAGTGGGCGTGGCCAAACCCAGAAGTGGGTGTGGTTTACATCAATACGTTATTTTAAGTCTGATCAGAAGTTGCTATGTGTATTGTTTATTTGAAAACTATTTACAGAGCAGCCTCAGAGTTGAGATTAAATGTTTTTGATCACAATAGTAAAGGAACTATTACAGAACAAGTTTTTCAATAAAATCAGAACATTAATGTTTAAGTGCATGAATTAAGAGAGAGAGAGAGAAGAAAAGATCTTTTCTATAGCGCCTCTCAAGATAAAAATCACGAGGCGCTTCACAAAAACAAAACATGTAAATTATAAAAAAAAGAATCAAGAAAATGATTACAATATATTTAAAATGAGCAAAAAATAGACAATTGTGATTAAGAAATGTAAAGAAAGAGAGAGTGAATAGGAAAGAGGGAGTGGATCCTGAGGAAGAGGAGAGAGAGAGAGAGAGGAAAAAAAACCTGACCGGAGCGGAGGCAGTGACTGACGCAGCACGAGCCGTTTTCAGCTCTGTCTTGTCAAATGCACCACGTACGTTACGATAAAAGTTACTTTAAATAACTTTAAAGTTACTTTAAAAAGAGGCGAACTGAAGAAAACTTAGGGCGTACTGAAGAATCGTGAACAGTGAAGCAAGCACAGAGAGATCCATTACTGTGTGTGTGTGTGCGTGGATGGACCGGACGCGGACTGAGCTCCCGGTGTCGGTACAGGATCTGCTCAGGTACAGGATCGGCTCAGGGTCCTACGACTGCCGATGACGTCACATTACTGCAACTCTACTCGGCTTTCACACATACGTTTTGGAAAGACATCAGCAGTTCTGTTAATAAATTCTTGTTTGTTAAAACCTAAATGTTTTCTTTATAATTGTAATTTGTTAATAAAACACCATATTATCTTTGTTTTGTAAAGAATGTGAAACTGCATAAAACCAACATCGGACGGACAAAAAATAGAGCAGTTCTTATATGTGAAGCCATATCTGTTTGTATTAATGTGGAGTTCGTCTGTATATTTCCTTCGTTGTTATCTAAATACATTCTTTGATTCAAAATATTGCTTGGTGTCTTTCAATAAAGTTCTTGTATTTTATTTTGCCCCATTTCATCAACATCAAGAGCTTTTGAGGGTCACCGTTTATCATTTGCTTTTATTTTACATTTCCTTTGGAAATTTAAACATATTTTCTCCAAAAAGTGTTGATTTATGGACTACAGGACTGCAACCGCTAAGACAACGACCGCAAATTTGTTCTGACCAATCAAAATCATAACGTGATAACGTAACTTCCGTAAGCTTCATGTTCAGCCAATCAACTACTTTGACCTCATCGGCAGTCTAAGGACCCCGAGCCGATCCTGTACTGAGACCAGCTGAAGAGTTTTGTGTGTAGGGAGGGGCGGGCGCTCTATTAGAATGGCCAATCACAGAGCGTGAACACAGTCAGTTACCCAATGAGGATTTTCCTTCAGCACGATTACAGATATTTACGAGTTTTACCCGTTTCATGCTCCTACTTGTCAAAAATGCTTTATCCGTACCGGACACTCGTCTGAAACGAGTATGCGGCTCATCCCTGATATTTAGACATATGTATACATACACTTTTTTCCCGTTTTCTTTACCTTCTTTTCCAGGCTTCTAACCACTTCAGCCTGGCGAGGTCATCAGCTGGAGGAGTCAATGTGCTCTTCGCTTCTCCCAAGATCTCCCTCCCACCTGTGACTGTACAGTAGATGAGCGCCTTAGATGGCTGCTCTCACTGGGGGAAACAGGATCCCAGCCAACCCCCCCCCCCCCCCCCCCCCCCCCCCTTCCTACCGGTGTTTTCAGTCCAGACCGAAAACAACGAGACAAGGTCAAGAGTTTCTTCTCACTTATGTGTCTTTGAAAACAGCCTGAAGAGCTTGATCCTGCTGCCGGAGCTTCCCTCTCACCCTGATGGAAACGTGCCTTAGCTCCATATTTTATGTCAATGACACCCTCATATTTCCAAGTCTAATTTGGCCATGGGCAATCGTTCCTGCACAGATGTGCTCACCTCCACAACCTCATTTCCTGTGTTTCCTGGTTCTTATAAAGCAGAGATTAACATATTTTTTTCTGAATTAATTTTCTAGTAGATCTGACGGGATCTAAGGGTTTTTTTTTGTCCTGCAGCAGATTTAATTCTAACCCTAACCTGAACTCTGGTATTTCCTGCAGACTAACAATTGTCTGAAGCTGCTGTTGATCCGATCACACGAACACCCTGGAAAGCTTCTGGGTATGTGTGACGGCTCGTCCAGCGTATGTACGTGCATTCATGTACATTGTGGCTTCCTATGTATGTGCATCTGTGCACAAACATACCCACAGTTTGTCCACAGCCTGACTGGGTTGTGGCATGCCAGCGTCTACTGTCGCCAACAACTCAAGCTCCGGTTTCAAACACCACTCCATCTGATGCTGTGGACCCATGAGAAGAGATAAAAATCTTTTTAAACGTTTCAAGGAGAGGAATAATAAACGCCGCCAATCACACAGCTTCTAACTACATCATCAAGTTTGGAGTCACTTACCTCTGACCCCATAAGACCCTGGAACTAAACTTAACCGCCTCTTTAATTCGGTCTCTATTCTGCTCCTTTTGTCCAGATCCTGGAATGACTTACTTTGTTACTCTCCGCATCCCACTCCATGTGGGGATTCATCAGAATTCTACTGGAACTCACATTAAACATTCCATTGATTTCTCATACTTACAAGTTTTCAGGCGTGATGCAATTTCATTTGTTTTAACCTCAGCCAGAGACAGTCTGGGTCAAAGATCACTGATGTTCTGTGGGTCAGAACCTGAAACTCTGACTTACTCAACTTTCTAATCTCATAGATTAAGAGCTGCAGTTGAAAATATATTAACTTGTAGGAAGGATCTGTTTTTCAGTCATTTTCTGTTAAAACTGTGGAAGTGTGACTCTGCCAAAAAGTGGAAAAAAGAAAAAATAGACAAATATTTTATATATTTAAATGTTGCATTTCTTTAATCCAAATATTTTTACATGTTCTGAAACTGTTTTTATTATTACTGTGTTATTACAACTGTGTTTTATAGTTTTGTGTTTGTTCTGCCTTCTAAAGAGGAACGTAGCAGAGGGCAATATTTTAATTTCTAGCCCTTCACAAATTGAGGATTTAGCTCATAATGTTACTTCTTCTTTACGTGTGGCATTGAATGATGTTGCCCCTGTAAAAAAAAGAAGATAATTAAGCACAGGGAGTTGGTTCCCTGGTTTAATTCTCATTTACGAACTTTAAAACAAAACTCTAGAAAATTGGAGAGAACATAGTGCTCTACACACCAGGAGGAGTCCTACTTATGCTGGAAAAATATTCTTGTGCTTTATAAAAATAAGCTTCAACAAACTAGAACTACTTATTTTTGATCGTTAATTGAGGAAAATAAGAATAATCCAAAAATTATTTTCAGTACAGTTAGACTCATAGCTCTGAACCATTCCCTTAGCCCTCAGCAGTAATGACTTTATGAGATTTTTCAGGAGTAAAATAAATTCTATTAGAAACAAATTCATTAGCATCCTCCCTAATGCGATTTCTTCTTCCTCAGTAAGTGAGGCAGCATCAGAGGTAACTGTAGAACCTCATCTGTGTTTGAACGTTTTGATCCAGTTGAGCTTTCAGAGTTATCAAAAATATTAGCTTCATCTAAACCTTCAACTTGCATTTCAGATCCAACCCCAACCAAATTATTTAAAGATGCATTTCCTTTGGTTACTGCCCCCATTCTAGATATAATCAATCTATCCTTAGTAAATGGATATGTACCACAGGACTTTAAGGTTGCTGTAATCAAACCTTCACTTAAGAAGCCTTCTCTGGATCCAGATAACCCAATGAATTATAGACCAATATCTAACCTTCCATTTTTATCCAAAGTCCTGGAGAAAATAGTGGCCATCCAAGTATGTGAGCATTTAAACACTAATGATCTGTTTGAGGAATTTCAGTCTGGTTTTAGAGAGTATCACAGCACTGAAACTGCATTAGTGAGAGTTACAAATGATATTCTCATGGCCTCAGATAAGAATCTTGTGATTGTTCTAGTCTTGTTAGATCTCAGTGCTGCCTTTGACACAGTAGATCACAATGTTCTTGTAGAAAGACTAGAACATGTTGTAGGGATAAAAAGAACAGCGCTAGGCTGGTTTAAATCCTACCTGTCTGCTAGATTTCATTTTGTAAATGTACATGACAAATCGTCTTCATACTCCAGGGTTAATTGTGGAGTACCACAGGGTTGAGTGCTTGGACAAATTCTTTTTACTATATATATGCTCCCAATTGGTAAAATCATTAGACAGCATGGGATAAACTTCCACTGTTACGCTGACGATACTCAGTTATATCTATCCATTAACACCGATGAACCTGATCTGTTAGGTAGTGTACAGTCGGTAAAGACGGCTCTCCCTTGCCCTGTCTCCTTTACCGACTGCTCTCCCTTGCCCTGTCTCCAACATGCCTCCATCTAAAAGGCTAGGTTATCCAGAGTCATCTCTGTAGTTATGCTGCTATAGGCTTAGACTGCTGGAGGACACACTGACCACTTTCCACACTCGACTACTTTCTTCTACAATCTGCTCTTTAACTGTATTATTTCCTGCTATTTCAGCTGTTAACTTTATTTATTCTCTAAGTGTTTTTCTCCCCAGAAGAAGCTATAATGATGTTCTGCTGAGCTGTGGTGGCCTCATGGAGGGGGCCATTGGCTAGCACACTGCTGCTAACCACTTAAACATTCTCCCTCTCCTGATAATAACACTTCACTCTCTTTGACACTGAATGTGCTACTGCTAGTTTACCCGTTTAATTATAGATTCACTAGGATAAATACAATAAAGTTTATCTCTCACCTAATAGAATATTTACTAAGAAATCACAATGTAACCATGGACACGTGTGTGTGTGTGCGTGTGTGTGTGTGTGTGTGTGTGTGTGTGTGTGTGTGTGTGTGTGTGTGTGTGTGTGTTGCTTATACTGAGCCAGGATCCTCTGGAGGTTTCTTCCTGTTAAAAGGGAGTTTTCCTCTCCACTGTCGCTGCATGCTTGCTTAGTATGTGGATTGCTATAAAGACTCTGACACTAGTCAGTGACTCGATGCAACCTGCTGGGTTCCTTATATAGGAAACTTTTTTTCTGATTGGCATAATGAACTGACCTGTATTGAAATGTTTACTATGTGAAGTGCCTTGAGACGACTCTTGTCGGGATTTGGCGCTATAAAAATAAACTTGAATAGAAAATTGAATTGAATTTAATTGAATTTATAATAATAATAATGAGCAGGAATTTATACATATTGTACAAAAGTGTAAAAGTACATCCTCCACTGACTGTCATGACATCAACATGACACTGCTTAAAAAAGTGATTTTGAATATTGTAAAACCATTAACTTACATCTTTAACTTGTCATTCAAAACCGGCTGCTTTCCTAGTAAAATGAAAATTGCTAAAGTAATTCCATTGTTCAAAAATGAAAGCAAACATGCATTTACTAATTACAGACCAATCTCTCTTTTGCCTCAGTTTTCAAAAATTCTAGGGAAGCTTTTCAGTTCCCGACTAGAAAAGTTTCTTGAGAAGCATAGAATAATTAATGAAGGCCAGTATGGATTTAGGTCTAAACGAACAATTACAATGGCAATAACTGAAACTATAGAAGAAATTACAAATGCACTTGAAAAAAAAGTATGCAGTTGGTATTTTTGTCAATCTAAAGAAAGTTTTTGATATTATTTTGATTTTGATCTTATTACATAAGATGGAAAGATATGGAATTAGGGGCCTGGCTGGGGACTGGATCAAAAGTTTTTAACAGGGAGAGTACAGTTTGTAAAAATGGGTCTGTATTCACCAGACACCATAGGCATTACATGTGGTGTCCCCCAGGGGTCAGTGTTGGGGCCAAAACTATTTAATATGTATATGAATGACATTTTTAATACATCTAAAGAACTGAAACTCATACTATTTGCAGACGACACAACTATATACAGTAGTGATGATTATGATAATCTTGTAAATACAGTAAACAAGGAAGTAAATAAAATTAAAAAGTGGATGGATACAAATAAATTATCCTTGAATATAAATAAATAAAACTAAGACAATGATGTTTGGGAATAACTACACAGTGTCTGAACTGAGAATACGTATTAATGGTACCCAAATTTAAACAGTAAACGAAACCAGATTTTTAAGAGTAAAATTTGATAGTAAATTGTCATGGAAACCCCATGTTAGACACATTAAAAAATTCTCCAAAAGC